CTCCTTTCTCGTCCAAAAAAGTAATAGTTTTTGTTTCTGTAATGATATGTGTGTTGTCGCTTGGTGTTTTGGCAAGTTTAATAATCTTACCATCTCCAAAATCAAACACCAACGACGTTGCTCCTGCAGCAATAAATTTTCCAAGTGTAAAGGTTCGATTGTCTGTCCATGTTTGTTGTGTTGGAGTGTTTAAAAGTCTTTTGAGATAACTATATCCATCAGAGTTCTGAATTCCAGTGGAGAAAAGACTCAATTTTGGACTTCTTGTGGTGATAATATTTTCCTCGCCCAGTTCTGTCATCGATTTTCTCATCTTCACAAAAATAATGTCCTTGAAGTTTGAAACGAATCCAAAAACATAGGACTTGTAGCTATCTTTGAGTGCCCTAAACATGTAATCACAAAGCTGGCCAAGGATATGTGGTGTTTCAATCACTTTTGTATCCTTTTTCAATTCTAAAAAACCTAGCGCCAAATGTTCTATTGCTCTGGGATCATTTTCTGTTAGGTTAAACATTTTGGGAATAAACGTAAAGTCGGGCTTTCTGTTATGAATAATAGTTTTGTTTGTATCAACGGCTGTATATACTGTGGAAATTTCATTTGAGAACAGTTTTTTAAAGAACTGGTGGACACGTGTTTCTTTGTCCAAATTTTTTTCATTGATTGTTAGAGAAATCATGTTTGAACTACTTGCTTGATCATTACTATTGATTTGTAATGCTGGAATAGTACTATTGTTGAATTGTGTTGATTCTTCTTCACTCTGAAATTTTTCAACAGAGACTGAAAGACGTTGATACAACTCCGATGAGGTTATTGTACTTTCTTCAGTCGTTACTCGATTTTCCAATTTCATTCTCTTTGTCTGTTCTTCCATCTCCTTTCTCTTTGTCTTCTCTCTTTCCTTCGTCTCCTTTCTCTTTGTCTTCTCTTTTTCTCTTTCCGTCAAATACGTCAAATATTTTAAGTACGCCCCCAATTTTTCGGAATTTAATTGGGCAAAAGAGACGCTGGGACCAATCGTCAGACATTTTTAATTTTTTTAAAAAATATTGAATATGAATACATCACAACGATTGATTATTGTCCAAACCAGAAACAACATACGGAACATGATTGAATGCAGTGACTCCAATCAATAAATAATTTCCCAATATTTTAGAATATTCCTAGTGTCAATGAAGCGGTCTTGGCCGAGTGGTTAAGGCGTTGGACTTGAAATCCAATGGGGAAACCCGCGTAGGTTCGAGTCCTGCAGACCGCGGCTATATTTTTTTATATAATGTCCTTGGCTATTTGTAAAATCAATTGAATAAGGATTGTTAATTTCAAACAAAAAAACACACCCACATCATCTTTGCTTTGACATTTCTTCGTCATGAAAAGAACAAAGCAAGCCTTTTCATCCCAAACAAAGCAGGAGGTCTGTGCTCTAAGGAAGCGTTTTAAAACGTTAATGAAGTACTTAAATCCACCTATGAGGGTTATATCTTTTATAATTCTGATGTCTTTATAAGCTGATATCACTCTATGTTTATCTTAAGTATAGATATAATTTATTTGGGTGGCATTTTAAGAACGATTTATTGCCATAGTTCACTTTCAGGTCTAAAGTAATGAACTTGAAATCTATAAAAAAGGAGGCTTATTAAAACAAAACCTCCTTGTTGAGATGGTGACCAACAAAATCAAAGCAGCGCAGAATATCCAAATAGAGAGTCTTTATCAAAAAGTGATGACATGTACTTCAAACGAAGTGGTTTTGGCACTCATTTCCAAGGATACGGAAAACAAATACTTTCCAAAATCTATCGGTACCTTAGATTTCTTTTCCGTTAATGTCAGAAACTTATCGATCTTTTACCTCGATCGTTTTGGATTGTTGGACTCCACTTCAATTCAAAAGGAATCCTTAGACACTCTTAAAGACCTTGGGAAAATAATTACTTATGGTGACGGCCAGAATAAGAATATCTTAAGTGTCAGTCAAAAAGATATTCATGGTGAGTTTCTTTGCATGTGCTTTGTTTTCTAACGAATCATATTCGTTAGCAATTCATTTATTAAGGTGGTGACTCAACATCAGCATGGAATGTCCACTTCAATTATTTACGAATCAAAGGAAGTGTTTTCTTTCCGTTTCTATGGACCTGGATTGGTACATTTACCGATGAAATTTTGAAAAAGAAGAGCAAGGATGGTGACTCAACATCAGCACCTCGTATTCTCTCACTTCCAGTTCATTATGACAACAATCCAAAGGAAGAAAAGGAATTGTTGTTTTAGATCCCAGTATTCAATTCCTTGTAACAACTAGAGGAGCAGTTTGTAATGTTGGAAAGAGCATTTTCATCCACTTTGTCAACGATTCAAAGAATGATTGTGTTAAAATCATCCAACAATCCGAATGTTTCACCAAAGCTGTTCCTTCTTACATTATGGATCTATTGGAATTTGATGGGAATAAACAATAAAGTGTGTATATTGTTTTGTTATCGCTATATGATGATAAAATATGAAGGTCGCCACCATCAAGGTTCGAATCATCAAATCCTATCGATTGATAAGTTATAACCCTTGTGATTACTGCGAGCCTTTACAAAAGTGTCTGACAGCACTACTTCGAATTGAATGAACTGTGGACGAATTGCTTTCTATCAAACCTTCGTGATGCCGGGCATAGGACAGAAAGAAAAAGGGATGTTGAAAATTGTCAAAATAAATCCAAAAGATTGAAATTACCAGGAGTCAGTATGGGTTGTCCTTGCGAGATTCTCAAAGAATCACTACAATATTTCACAAATTTTAATTTTTTATTATCTCCAATTCTGACCAATCAAAATGCGCCACTAAATTCTGAAACCCAAACTGCGCAATAAATCAGTTAAAAACACTCTACAAAACTACCATTCATTGTTTTGATTGGTTTGTGGTTGTTGTGGCATTGGAGTCAATCCTCTCTTGCAATCATTCAACTGGTCAAAAGCATATTGGCAAGATCCAATAGAGTATGGGTTTTGTTCCAAACATTGCGAGAAGGATTGCATTTGTGAGAAGCACTTTTGCATTTCTTGTGGAGAGTATTGTGGTTGTTGTTCTCCAGCATTGTCCTTGGAACCAAAAGCATTAGAAACTGAATCATAAATAGCATGTCCGATCATAGTACCAGCAACCGTGGAAACAATATTTCCCATAATACCAGAACCTCCGCTTTGAACAGGAGCTTGTTGATATTGTGGTGGTGGTGGGGTTGTGGTTTGTTGTTGAGGTCTAGCTTGTTGTTGTGGAGTGGATGAGGTGGAGTAATTTCTAGTTTGTTGTTGTGTGGGTGGAACTTGGTGAGAAGAAGAATGAGAGGATGAGGATGAAGAGGAGGATCTTCTTGAAGCACCAGTAAATCTACTCTTTTGTGCCATGGTTTGTGTGATTTCTTGTGAGTATGTGATGAGGGTATTTTTTTTTGAATAATAAAAATAATTTACAACTGAATGTTCCTTTTGAAGATCAGTGGCGATGAAATGCCCAAAAATTCCGAATTGATTGAGAGAGTGTGGACGCACCAACGCGCGCACGTGTGTGTGTCTCAAAGTGATTGAATGAATGCGTGGTCCTCATTCCGAAGACTCTTTTAATTCATCAATCTCAATGTTCAATACAGAAGTGAACAGAGGATCGTCATCAAATGGGATTTCTCTCTCTTCAATTCCTTCATGAACGAACCTTATCATCTCACCCTCAAAGGATCTCCAGTTTACAACCTCGCTTATTTTCCGACGAGAAAAGACCTGAAAAAAAGCGAAAAAATATTTATTGCTTGGAATTGCCTTCATTCCTCATCGCGCCCTTCTCATCATGACGCACAAAACACGTGCCGTTATTGTGGCAGCTCAGAGAACACCTATCGGTTCCTTCCTTGGAAAACTTTCTGGCTTTGATGCTCCCAAGTTGGGATCATTGGCCATTCGTTCCGCAACACAAAAGGCTGGAGTTGCTCTTTCCGAGGTGCAAGAAGTCATCATGGGAAATGTAGTCTCAGCAAATTTGGGTCAGGCACCTGCTCGTCAAGCAAGTATTCATGCCGGACTCCCTGAAAGTGTTGTTTGTACAACTGTGAATAAGATGTGTGCATCGGGCATGAAAGCAGTCATGTATGGAACTCAAAACATTGAATTGGGCATTCATAATTGTGTGGTTGCTGGTGGTTTTGAATCCATGTCCAATGCTCCATATTATATTCCACAGGGTCGATCAGGCTATCGATTGGGTGATGGTAAATTGGTCGATTCAATTCTTAAGGATGGTTTGACTGATGCCTATAATGGCGAGCATATGGGTTGGTGTGCCGAACAAACAGCCAAATTATATAAAATTACACGTGAGGAACAAGACGCCTATGCTATTGAATCCTATAAAAGAGCTGCTGAAGCAAATGAGAAGGGATACATGTCCGAAGAATTGTTCTCCATTGCTTTGCCATCCAAAAGAAGGGAGACCCAATTCAATACATTCAACACGATGAAGAGTTTACAAATATTAATATGGACAAGGTTCCACAATTGAAACCAGCATTTGTGAAGGAAAATGGTACTGTCACTGCTGCTAATAGCTCAAAATTATCAGACGGTGGTGCTGCTTTGATTTTGATGAGCGAAGAGAAAGCAAAGAAGGCTGGTATTAGACCAATTGCAAGAATTTTGGGATATGGAGATGCTGAAAAGGCTCCAATTGATTTCACAACTGCTCCATCTTCAGCCATTCCAGTGGCTTTGAAGCATGCAGGAGTTTTGCAAAGCGATGTCAATTTGTGGGAAATCAATGAAGCATTCAGTGCTGTTGCTTTGGTCAACATGAGACTTTTGGGATTGGATGTCAGTAATGTCAACATTTTCGGAGGAGCTGTTGCATTGGGTCACCCAATTGGTTGCAGTGGTGCTAGAATTCTCTGTACTCTCATTAGTGCTTTGAAGCACAGAAAACAACAAGTGGGTTGTGCTGCCATTTGCAACGGAGGAGGCGGTGCTAGCTCTGTTGTTATTGAATTGCTCTAAATCAACCTGTGATTTGAATTACATTAAAATGATTCCTATTTTGAACAATCGAGTTTGTGAGGGAATGTCATTTACTTTGAAATATTGAGTCATGTCGCGAAAATGAAACATTACCTTATGAAAGAATAACACTCTTGTCCACATCATGGCCAATCAAGCACAAATTTACGAAAGTTCTCTCTTGCATTCTGAACTCTCTTCACAGAACAAACACGAAATCAAGTTACTGGTTCTTCTGTCGAGTGTACCATTCAAGGTTGTGCTTTTCTTTTTCGATTTGGTGGTGTGATAATCTCTTCATGAAGAACTTGGAACCTGCTCTCGAGCATCACCAGTTGGACATTTTAAGCGACAGTTGTAATACTTTCGTCGTTCACGTCAAAAAAATTAACGTTACCAACTTGTTCTCACCACTCACATAAAAATGTCAGCTGCCAATAACTCTGGTATGGAGGAATATAAACTCGCCGTTGGTAAGTTGATGATGGTGATAATTAACTTGTAATGATGGCGAACATAAACACTCGTAATAACACTCTCCAAATGTGTGTTGACGAACAATTAACAACAACAACAATTACAACTCAACCACAAAAACCACAACAATAACAACCACAAACACCTATGGAACATCATTCCACACATGTGATATCACGCCTTCTTGACTTTATTGTCATTATTATTAATACATTGACTCAACCATAACAATAACAACAATCACCACATCAACAACCACTCGTTCGTCTCTCTTCAATTTCAACCCTAACAACAACAACAACAACCAAAATCAATCACCACCACCATCATTTGGGTTGAATAATGGCCTCTCCACTCCACCCATCATGATAATGATGATGATAATGGCATCAATGAATCCTCACCAACATGATGGTGGTTGGTCTCAACAGTCGGTGGAGGTGGTGTCGGTAAAAGTGCTCTCACTGTCCAATTCATTCAAAACATCTTTGTCGAAGAATACGATCCAACCATTGAAGACTCTTATAGAAAGCACGCCAAAGTGGATGATAAACCATGTTTCTTGGAAATTCTTGATACTGCCGGACAAGAGGAATACAAAGCTTTGAGAGATCAATATATGAGAACTGGTGATGGTTTCTTGTTGGTCTATTCCGTAATTGATAGAAAGACTTTTGAGGAAATTAATGATTTCTATGAACAAATTTTGAGAGTGAAGGATGCTGAGAAGGTTCCTATGGTGTTGGTAGGAAATAAGGTAAGTGTTGTTATTATTATTGTTATGGGAATCATCATCCTTCCATCCTTCCATACATTTCTCCAATCATTCCAATGGGTTTTAAATGTATTTCGTCGTGTTGGTGGTTGGCCAATTAACAATTTTCATTGGCGATGATGATATCCTTTTCATCACCATTATGATTCTAACCCTATCCGATTGAACCTCTCATGAATGATGAATGAATGAATCATCATCCCCATTCTGTCTCAACAACAATTTTCTAAATATTTAGTGCGATTTGGAATCTGAAAGAGTCATTAGTGCCGATGAAGGAAAACAATTTGCCAAGCAATTAGGTATTCCATCCTTGGAAACCTCTGCCAAACAGAGATTGAATGTGGATGAGGCTTTCATGGCATTGGTTCGTGAAGTGAGAAAGTCCAAGCCAAGCAATGCCGGACCAACCAAAAAACCATCTGGTGGAAAGAAGGGTTGCAATTTGTTGTAAATTCTCTCTCTCTTTCGAGATTCTGAATCGTCTTGTTGTAAAACGTAAACTCGTTTCGTTTTCAAAAATTGTATCATAGTACACCATCTTTGATCATAATATCTTCTATACGAAAATAAATTGAGATTGATCAAGAGTTTTACAGCAAGAATAATATTGCATGCACTCGGTCATGACAACATTTGCCTCAAACCTCAATGTGGTGGTGCTGAGACAATTGCTCATTGTCACCTATTATTCATGTTGTTATGGAACATGTCGAGACAAGTCAAAATGTACAAGGAGGAATTCTCGTCAGTGCAAAAGAATCCCATCATGTGCCATTGTTGAAGAGTTCATGGCGTTTATTGAGGTCTATTCGTAATGTGTGGTTGAAAGAGTTTTTGTTCACCATGGCGTTTGATTGGTTTATTGAAGTCTATTATTTCTCATGAGACTTTGATAGTTGAACGAAGTAGGAGAAGGAGATTCATTGAAGGTCGAATTCACATCCGAGTGAATGACAGAGAGATCCAACGAGGACATGGAAGTCTTTGGATTTCTCTGAATATTGGCTGGAATTTTGTGAAAGCCAAATTTCTTTGCCAATTCTGTTGGCTCTTCAGGTGGCACTAAAAATCCACATTTACATAAAAAGTGATAATAGGTGGTCATGAGTTCGATCACCTTTGGACAAGTGACACCCGAATTTTCAAGACCTTCCAAAGTGTGTGTATTGTCATACCATGGACGTTTTGCAGTCATTTTGAGATCATAGTCATCAGTAAAGTAGGTCACTAATGGATACAAGACATTTTCTTCTTCACCAGTGCTTAATTCCTTCTTTTCAACTGTTTGTTGATAAAGTTTTTCTTTCCATTCCTTAAATGGTAATGGTAAAAGTTTGAATCCTAATTTTCTACCAGTTTCGAATAATGAATTAAAGAAGAATTCATGAGGATTCACCAAGTGGTATGCTTGATGTTTTACCACACTATCCATGGTCCTCGACAAGTACACAATAGCTCCTGAAATAAAATCGACAGGTGACATGTCAAGTTTGCTTGTTGGCATGTCTGGATAGTAACCCATTTGAATACATCCCTTAATCATTCGACATAAAAAGTCATCTGGATTCCACACACCAGTCTTACTATGACCAGTAATATAACCAGGTCGATAAATACACACAGGTAATCCTCTCATTCTTGCATTCATACATAATTTTTCAGCGACATATTTGGATTGAGGATAACCAGTCAAATCTTCATGATAGGGCAATGAGGAGTCTTCATAGACATCAGTAAATTCCTTGTATTGTTCCGAATCAAAGACAGAAGTGGTGCTGACATAGTGCACAGGTGTTAACTTTTTACCACCACAGGCCATTTTGAGAATCTCGCGGGTTCCATTCACGTTGGGAGCTTTCAATTTTTCATAGCTGTAGAGCCAGTGAACCGCAGCACCGTTGTGAATAATAACGTCAATGGTGTCGCTCAATTCTTCGAACTTGATAGGGCTTAATCCCAAGTAAGGTTTTGTTAAATCTCCCAAGACGGGAATGATACGTCCCTCCACAATTTCAGCCAAATTCATCTTATTCACTAAATTCATACTTTCACGTTCTTCTTGTTGATCCATCTCTTTGGAGGTCCATAAAAAGTGATAACTCAATAAACTTTCCAAAATACGTTTACGGGCCTTTTCTTCATTGTCAGCTCTGACGAGACAATAAATTCTTGCACTCGTCTTCTTTAAAAAGTCAGCCAATAAAAAGGTTCCTAAAAATCCAGTGCAACCCGTGATGAGAATATCCTTTGGATTTTGCCAAGTTTTAGATAGGGAAATAAAATCATTAAAGTTAAGTTGATGGTGTGGACGAATAGAGGCCTCCAAGTGACAATCAGAAGAGACATCGGTCACGTGTGTCTTACTCACTCCTTGCCACTTCTTAATTGTTCGATGGCCACAGCGAGGGCGCTCACTGTTGGTGCCTTAAATAACAATTCGACCGGTAATTTAGAAGCTCCTTCCACTTGTTGTCTAATCTTTAAAGTGAGTGTTGTGGCATTGATGGAGTGACCACCGAGATCAAAGAAATTGTCATGAATACCAATTCCTTGACCAGAACTTCCTTGTAAAATTTCACCCCAAATGGTCACTAATTGTTGTTCGAGGTCATTTCTTGGAGCTACATAGGTTTCTTCGTCTTGTCGTTGATCGGTGGAAGTAGAAGCACTCGTTTCAGGTCTTGGTAAATCTTGTTTCTTAATCTTTCCGTTTGGTGTTAATGGAATCTTGTCTAATGGAACAAAGTAAGATGGAATCATGTAATCTGGAAGTTTGCTTCTCAAATATTGTCTCAAGTCTTTAATGATGGTCTTGATGATACTCGCTCTCAAACCACTTTCCATGGTAAAATAGTTTCCATAAATGGTACTCTTTTCAATTTCTACTTTATCCAAAACAAAGTAGGTGACAATACGTTTTTCATTGGTTCCAGGAACACAATCTTCTCTCACAATGGTCACTGATTCCTTGACCAATTCATGGCTATTGAGAGCTGTGTTAATTTCTCCCAATTCAATTCTGAAACCTCTGATTTTAATCTGATCATCGGCTCTTCCACTGCATTCAGCGTCTCCACTAATGAGATATCTTCCCAAGTCACCCGTTCTGTACATTCTGTCAATGTATCCTGTGGTGAGGAAAGGATTTGGAATGAATTTTTCTCTCGTATCCTTTTCCTTTCCTTTGTAACCTTGTGAAAGGTGAGGACTACGCATATAAATTTCACCCATTTCACCAATTCCACACAACATGAATTTGTCGTCTCGTGAGGTGAATCTGGAGAGAGTCAATGCTTGAACGTCTAACATTCCTCTACCAATTGGAATAATGTCCTTCAATCTTTCGAAAGGAATTCCTGTTTCCATACATTTTTCACCAGGTCTTGGAACCATATAGTACGTGACAGAACGTTGAGTCTCTGTAGAGCCGTACAAGTTAATGACTCGAACAATTGGAGAAATGTCACACAAACGTTTCACAAACTTCTTTGAGAGCACATCACCAACAAAGAATGCATATCTCAAATGATTCAATTTGAGAGGTTCTCCAGTGCTGGTGGTAGCAATACTGGCAGCACTGGTTAATAATTGACCCATGGCAGGTGTCAAACAACTCACTGTAATTTTCTTTTCTTCAAACCACTCTGCAAGACGACCAGGATTGACAATATCTTCATTGGTTGGAATATACATGGTACAACCCAGGAACCATGGTGTGGAAATATCTCTTTGGAGAGGATCATGACTGATACCACTTTGCATACTAAAGACATCATTTTCACTCAAGTTAAATCGTTGCTTCATCCAGGGATAGTAGTGAGTGAGAGGTCCATGTCGACCGAGAACTCCCTTTGGAATACCTGTACTACCACTTGTGTAGGTACACACTGCAAAATCATCTTGTGTAATTTGTACCTTGTCACGCCATTCAGGATCTGAGCTCAAATCAGTGTCTGCATAATCCGCATAGATTTGTTCAGAAACACTCTCTGTAATGGATTTGAGAGAGACCACAAATCGAACAGTGGACTTGGTTTGAATGTACTTGACGACTTCTTTTGGAAGTGGACCAGAGGCTTCAATCAAAATGACAGCAGATGGAGAGGACACTTCCAAGCAAGTAATAATTCTGTCTGCTGGATAAGCAGGATCTAACATGTTAAAAACTGCTGCACATTTCAATGTAGCCAAAATTGCCAATACTACAGGGCAGCTTCTGTGACCAAAAATGGTGACAACTTCTTGTCTTTTCAATCCATTGGCAAGTAATTGACGAGCTAATTGATTGGAAAGCTTATTTAAGGTTTCATATGTTACAGATTCTTTGCTATCAACCATGGTAATTCGTTGGGGTATTTTCTTTGCTTGTTCTTGGAATACTTCATGAATTGCTCCATAGAAATCGTTATTCAAAGGTTTATCTGGATGTGGAAGGACTGTCTTGGCATATTCTGTCACAAGTGACACATCAAAAATCGATTGTATTGGTTCTGAAACAAGTTGTTTAGCAGCCAACTTCAATTGATTCAACATGTCTTGCATTCTGAGTTCTGTGAATAAATTAGTTTGATACGAAATGCTCACTTGATTTGTTTTAGTATCCAAATGCAAATGCAAATCAACATTAGAGATTGGGAAAGGAGAAGAGGAAGCGTTGACCAAATTGTAAGGGCCATCGTACGAGCTGAAAGAAACTTGAACTAGAAGAGTAGTATCCACTTTTCCTTGTTTTTGTTCAACCTCCGAAAGGATATTCTGAACATTTCCGAATTGTGACAAATTGCCAACAGAGTCACTGAAAGCCCCTTGAATGTTTGACAATAACTTTTTAAAACTGTACTCCGTGGTCGACTTTTCTCGGGAAATTCCCTCAAATGTGTCTTCGTCAGCAGATGGCATTGGAATATTTGCAGAGACGATGAAAGAGTCACGTTCTGTGTTTTCATCTTGCAAAATACCAATCAAAAATGTCTCTTCATAGGTATAACGAGCGAGAAGTAATGCAAAAACAGACAATACAAAAGTGTTTCTTGTGAACGATTTTTGAGCTTCGGAATCTGTCACTTGTAAAAACTTGTCTTTAAAGGACTGACTGGAGAGTACATCATCTAATGAAATAATTTCCTTCAATTGTTCGTATTGCAAAATTGTGTTTGAGTTGGTCTCATTCTCATCCATCATTGTTCGAGGAAAATCTGTTGGCAATTTCAAACTTTGGTTTTGGTTGATGAGAGAGGACCAAAAACTCAATTGTTTCTCTTTCAATAATGAGGCTGCCATTGTTTGTAAAAAAGGTTCAACTGTGTGATGAAGAAGGTCAAATAATGAATGTTTAAATTTTCAATTAAAACTTTACAACGCAAGAGTTTCTTTCAACAAGATGCACAATGAATGAAGGAATGGACGGACTGATGAATGGGCTGATTCTGATATCACCAACGAGGAGAAGCAAATTGTTGTACAAGATTCGTCTCAAGGCGTTCTTCAAGACAATCCAAGACTTGTGTCGACTGACTGCAGCAAAGAGAGCTCTTCTCGCGTTTTTTTTGTTCTTGTTTCAAAAAAAAAAATTCCATAATTTCGCGAAGGTGGGAAAACCTTTTTGGTGAGTGGGTAACTTTTGGAAAAATTCCCTGCTTCGTTCGTGGCTCTGATAAAGTCCCGATTGGTGATTTGTCATAAGCTGGGTTGTTCTATGAGCTTTGAATGAAATTCTCCAGAAGCATGATTGTAATGATCTGTTTTAAGAGATTGTAAGAGGGATGAAAAGCTCACAAGTAAGGTTTAATGATGATGTAAGCAGAGAGCGAGAAGACCTTGTTTGTTCTTTTAAGGATCTCGGAAAGGTATTCGGTATAGGATCAGGTGGAGGAGGAACCTTACGAGTTCTGTTTGATTCAATCAAATCAAGCAAGCCTTAGATCAAAATGTTTCAAGAAAAAGATCTCGTAAAGATATTTGAAATTTTCCGAGTGAAGACTAAGCAAAAAGGTCTTTTAACAACAACTTGTTGATTTATTGAAGTACATATGCCACTAAGGTCAATTTAGAAGCACTTTCTGTGGACAATACCTGGACCGGCATCCTCATATTCTTCCTTGGTGATCCACATTTGTTGGAAGGTGGACAATGAAGCCAAGATGGAACCTCCAATCCAGACCGAGTATTTTCTTTCTGGTGGAGCCACAACCTTAATCTTCATGGAAGCAGGAGCCATGTTGGTCAATTCCTTGGTCATTCTCTCAGCAATACCTTCAAACATGGTAGTACCACCAGACAAGACAACGTTACCATACAAATCCTTTCTGATATCAATATCACACTTTCCAATCGAGTTGAAAGTAGTTTCATGGACACCAGCAGCTTCCATACCAATGAAGTTTGGTTGGAACAAAACTTCTGGACATCTGAATCTTTCATTTCCAACAGTAATCACGTTACCGTCTGGCAATTCATAAGACTTTTCAACGGAGGATGATTCAGCAGCAATCTTCATTTCTTGTTCAAAGTCCAAAGCAATATAACAGAGCTTTTCCTTGATATCTCTGACAATTTCTCTCTCAGCAGTGGTATTGAATGAGTAACCACGTTCCATGAGAATCTTCATCAAGTAATCAGTCAAATCTCTACCAGCCAAATCCAATCTCAAAATGGCATGAGGCAAAGCATAACCTTCATAAATTGGAACAGTGTGAGAGACACCATCACCAGAGTCCAAAACAATACCAGTGGTACGACCAGAAGCATACAAAGACAAGACAGCTTGAATGGCAACATACATGGCTGGAACAGAGAAGGTTTCAAACATGATTTGAGTCATCTTTTCTCTGTTAGCCTTTGGATTCAATGGAGCTTCAGTCAACAAGACTGGATGTTCCTCTGGAGCAACTCTCAATTCATTGTAGAAGGTGTGATGCCAGATCTTTTCCATATCATCCCAATTGGTGACAATACCGTGTTCAATTGGATACTTCAAAGTCAAAATACCTCTCTTGGATTGAGCTTCATCACCAACATAGGCATCCTTGTTACCCATACCAACCATGATGGACTTTTGCTTTGGTCTACCAATGATGGAAGGGAAGACAGCTCTTGGTGCATCATCACCAGCGAAACCAGCCTTACACATACCAGATCCGTTATCAACTACGAGTGCTTGAACGTCGTCACACATTTTGTTGTTCTTGTTGGAGAGAAGTTGTTGTTGTGGAGGTTTTTTGTTTTGTGAAAAATATTTTCACACGATCGAAAGTGAGACTAAATTTGATGGCTGGTTTGGGGGTTGAAGAGTCAACTCGCCAATCAACGGAGTGACGTTTGATGGGGAGATTGATTCACTTGTCATCAAACTTGAAGTCAATAGAAGGAACTGTTGCACTCTGCTTGAATGTCTTGATTGAGTATTGATCAATCTACGATTGAATAGGAATGAGAATGATCAACCTTCATTCACCTCAACAATCGATTACAGTTGGTCATAGAACTGAGGAGGGAAGATTTCATGTCTTTGTTTCTGTTTCATGCCGTTTGTTGAAGGATTTGAGACTTGATCGATTTCAAATCTTTAAGACATCAAAAAGGGCCTCAATTCCACGACAAGCAACCTTTGTTTTTGGTGTTCTTGTTTTGAACATGGTACCTAGTATAACTTCAACGATTCATCAATTGCATGTATTACATGTGGCCAAGGTGATCATCAGATCATTGGTCATGGTTTTGCAATTATTTCTCGGACAATCTATCTCAACAAATATGTGATAATCAAATGCAAAAAAGCATTACTGATGAAGGCCTTCCGAATGAGATTAAGGTATTCAAACTAAAAGGCCATCATCTTGGGGGATCAACTGAACTATGAAAGTTTTGTATTTCATCTGGATCAACGAGCTGAATTCTGTGAATAGGAATCCTTCTTATCTATTCATATTGAGGACGGTACAACGTTCCGAAAGAGATGAAAGAAGAAGAACATTTCGGCATTATTGTACTGCGAACGAGGACAAGGGTTGAGAAAAAGCTTTAATTAAAGCTTTAATTTGATCTCATTTTTTAAAAATGTCCTCCTCTTCATCATCCTCCGGATTTTGTCCAACGTTCCCACAACTCTCACCTCACGATAAGCAAAGTTTTGGAAACAATCATCTCGTGGCAACTCGACATTATTATTTGGACCTCTCTACGGATTTTAAAAACAAGATCTTGATTGGTTATGTCGATATTACTTGTGAGGCTCTTGTGGAGAAGCCTTCTGAATTGGTCTTGGATGCCCGAAATTTGAATATTGTACAAACGAAATTCCTCTACAAGAAGCATCATAAACATCATGAGGAAAGCGTGAATGAACAACAACAGCAAGAGATGGAGGTTTCATTTCAACAATTTTCAAAGAAGGAAGTGAGTGAGAAGGGATATCCTGCAGTGTTCGGACAGCCTCTGGTGATTAATCTTGGTGCTTCTGAACGTATTGATTTGAAGAAGGGAGATTTGTTTGTGGTGAGAGTGTTCTACGAAACCACTCAAGAGAGTGAAGCGATTCAGTGGTTGAATCCAGAACAAACTCTTGGAAAGAAGCATCCATACTTGTTTACTCAATGTCAGGTATGTTTAGAGTTTTGTGGCCTTACTGTAGTGTGATATTCAATTCATTGGATTGTTATGTGATATATTGAAATGATCAATGTGTGTGATTTGCCTTTTTTGGGCCATCATCTTTTGTGATCATGACAAACGGTTTCTTCTATGCATATCACATCAAAAATTGTGGCTGGTTTGTGAATATCAATCATCACCATCATATGTGAATATTCGTCACTAATCTCTTTCTCATTATGTCAACAAAACGTTCCGGCTGATTTGTATGCATTCCGACCAAAGGCAATTCATGCACGTTCTTTCCTTCCATGCCAAGACACTCCTTCCAACAAGATAACCTATTCAGCCACCATTCGTACTGAGAAGCCTCTTGTGGCTGCCATGTCCGCAATCAAACAGTGGGAAGATGATACCTCTCATATTAATATTTATCACTTTCAGCAAAACGTTCCTATTCCATCCTATCTCATCGCTCTTGTAGTTGGAGCTTTGGAAAGTAAACAAATTGGACCAAGAAGCACATTATACTGCGAAGAAGAGGCTCTGGAAAAGGCAGCTGAAGAATTTTCACAAACTGAAGATTTCATCAAGGCCGCCGAGGAGTTCTTGCCACCTTATGCATGGGGAAAATATGACCTTGTCGTTCTTCCTGGATCCTATCCTTTTGGAGGAATGGAAAATTCTAATTTGACATTCTTAACTCCAACCTTGTTGGCCGGTGACAAATCTTTGGCAAATGTTGTTGCCCACGAAATCGCTCATAGTTGGAGTGGAAATTATACCACGAACGCCACATGGGAAGAATTTTGGCTTAATGAAGGTTTGTAAGAAATATTTTGTATGTTTTGTAACGTATACTCATGCTGACACAATTATTTTCGGAATGACAACACGTTATTATTATTTTTACTTTCAACTGTAACTGTAAATAGGCTTTACTGTATTCATTGAGAGAAGAATTTTAGCAAGATTGAATGGAGAAGAATACGCAAAATTTCATGCACAAATTGGTTATGCATCATTAACTGCTTCTATCAATCATTATAAGGAGATTAATCAAACACAATTTACTAAAATGATTCCAAAGTTAGACAACATTGATCCTGATGATGCATTCAGCTCAGTTCCATATGAAAAGGGATTTAACTTTTTGTATTACTTGGCTGATCAAATTGTTGGAGACATTTCAAGATTTGAAAAATTCTTGTACCACTATTTCACACTTTTTGCTCAAAAAACAGTGACTAGCCAGCAAATGAAGGAATGCTTTTTGGACTTTTTCTCTGATGTTGAAAAGACAAAAGAAATTGACTGGGATGCTTGGTTTTATATCGAGGGTGATGTCATTGTTAAGAATAATTTCGAAAACTCTTTGAGTGTTGCTGCAAATGAACTCTGTAAACGATGGGTCGAGGCAGGCGAGGACGCATCCTCATTCTCCAAGAGTGATATTGCTGGATGGACCTCAACACAACTTTCTTACTTCTTGGATATTTTATTGGAGAACGAGAAACCTCTTAATATTCAAAAATTAGATGAAATTTATGATCTCTCAAAGTATACCAACAGTGAAATTAGAAATGGATGGCAATTACTCGCTCTCAAGCACAAATATTCTCCTATCAAGAGCCAAGTCGTTGATTTTATCACATCACAAGGAAGAATGAAATTCGTAAGACCACTCTATCGTGAATTGTTCAAATTCGACAAGGAGTTGGCAGTTTCTACTTTCCTAGAACACAAAAATTTCTATCATGCTGTGGCTAGAAAGATGATTGAGAAGGATTTACAATTGGATCGACCAAATGCAGCCGTCAAGCAATAAACTCTTGAGCGTTAATTCAAGAGCACTTCGACATTCGTAAACTTTGAATCGATGGTACCAAAAAGAGCTTCTAGAGAGTTGTCACTTTTCAAAAGTTGAGAAAAAAATGGGCCACAAAAACTCAAAGACATCCACAACCATCATCAAATCACAACAACAACAGGCTCGCAACCACAACAACAATCATTCAACCATTCTTCCAATCACATCCCCTTCCTCCTCAAAACCTCCTCTTCAAAATCCTTCTCCATCTTCCTCCGCAGCAAATTCTCATGAATTCTTACCACCAAGTTTATTTGCTTCCTATTTGAACACAACTTCGTCGTCATCGATCGTACAACAATTTCATACAAAGCTTTCCGAAGAGCAATGTCAGCTCATGATCAAGGGAGTGATTCAATCGTATTTTGGAATACCAAATATATTTCCAGTGTTTTCCGAGGAATTGTTTGAAAGCATTTGGGCCTTGCAGAATATTTTGGCAGCTGACAGCACTCGAAATTTAATGTTGGCCTACTCGGAAGAGCTGTATTGGGTCAATGGTGGCTCTATCAGCGGAAATGACACTCAAGAAGGATCACAAACGCCACTTTCTTCAGTGTCTCCACGACTTGCCAAAACTCACGATATATTTTCACCCATTTTCTACACGCGAGATCAATTATTGAAAAATTCTTCCTCGAATCGATCACACCATCATGATGGCTCTTTGTCCAAAACTTTGGAAACAAACTATTCGACAACGACTTTACAAAATTCTTTTACCTCTAATTCTCTACCAAATACTACTAACATGTCACGACTCAAACATTTAACCATCGAATGGAGCATCAAATTGATAAATCAAGAATCTATTGTGGTGGCTACTCATAGAATTCCATTGTGGATTGCAACTCTGCGTTTAAGAAGGTTATTTCAACAATGTAAACAAACCACATCGATTGATTCCAATGGAAATTGCAAAATATTATTTCCAGTGATTGAAATTTCAAATCAATTTGAAGCGAAAATGCTATTGAGTGTTCATGAAATGATTCCTTTAATTTTTGAATTAATTATCATGTATTTGAGTTGCCCAATGTTATTATTCAAATGGATGGACGAAACTGAACCTCATAATATTCGAGAATTATTCGATGATCATAATATCAGTACGATACAACTGTTCACATGTTGTGAAATGATTTCACAAAAAGTTTTTGCATTTCTCACGGACTTTTCGACCAATGTCGAAACTCAGAATACTGTCACAACACCTTTTGGAAAAGATCTAATTGAATATTTCTCACTTTTGAAACAATTGGGACAACACGGCATAGGATTAGAATGGAAGAATGCCTATCGATCCATGTTTTCCAATTGGAAAAAAGATATTACTTTTATACTCGACGCAGATGCTAAGAACGAATTGAAAAAGAATGGACTTTCAATAGAGACAGATTTTGTTGAATTGTGTACACATGGAGGAAGTACGGTTGCGTTTTTACCTAAAAATTTTATGCAACTAAGCTCATCTGTGGTACGAAAAAAGATTGAAAAGGATCAAAAGATTTCCATCCATGAAATTAAGAACACGAAGGCCATGTCAAATATTGCTTCGTATTGGATGACCATGGAATTGTTGGATGATAAGCACTTGAATGACATGTAAGTGTGATGGTGATGCATTTGTGTTGAACACTAATATTGAATATTTATTTGATCATATTTGAAATGAATTTGAATCATCATGCAATTCTCTTGGAATTGTCACCACATTCATCTACTCAAATAGTTTAACTTTTTCAAAGAGAACTCAAGAACTCACTCTATTCAAACAAACAGTGTCACTACTGGCAAGAAAAGTCACCGAAGAAAATACTTACTCATTCTTCAAAATTGCACAAGAATTGAAAATTGACACGCTCACTGAATTGTGTAATCTCTACACACAATACTCGAAGTTTAAAGAAAGTTCTCAAACAAAAACCACCAGAAGAAGATCCCTTGCAATGGTCATGTTGAAAAAAACACCAAGTGAAGTCTCACTCACCAACTCTCCCTTTCAATTTACAAAACGATCGTATTATGACACTTCAGAAATGGAATTTGCACTTGCTCAAATTTCAAGTGGAAAATCCATGCAAATTCGTGTGTGGATTTGTGGAGGAAGAAAACCTGGTAAAACATCCTTGGTGTGTCGATACATGTTCGGAAAATTTGATGTCACCTATGACACGAGCATTAGTGAGAGTTATCGAAAATTGGAAGGAAATTTTGTGATTGATCTAATGGATTCGAGTGGACAAACTCCTTCCTCTGAAGTGAATAATATTGAACTCATTAGAAGTTGTGATATTTTCGTGGTGTGCTACAGTGTGAAAGACAAGAATAGTTTTTCAATGGTTGAGTATGTTTCTTTTGGTATTGTTTGTTTGCGTAACATTTATCAAATTCCATTATTCTTAACATTAATTGATTGGATTCTTCTGACTCATCTCCTTGCATGTGATTGTTTCATGTGATTTTCACACAGAGATTACATTCAAAATTTCAAAATACTCAAGGACAATACAGATCCTATCATTATCATTGCAGCTCTACAATGTGACTCACCAAGGAGTATGTGGCAAACAACCACAGATGCAGGTTTACAGCTCGCCCAACAACACTCAGCTCTATTCTTTGAAGTTTCCAGTTATTTGGGTGTCCATGTGAGAGATGTTTTCGTGAGTGGCATTTTGGAACACTGCAGACAATGTTCTTTGAGGTAACTTTGAAAAAACCTTAACAGGAGCTCACTCGTCGTGTGTTTCAATGAAAAATAATGACAGAAATATCTTTATTATCCTTTGTTTGGCGAAAGAGAGCAGAAATTGAGAAGTATCAGTGGAAATGGCATTTGAAAGGTTTTGAAAACATTTGAAAATTGATTCACTTAGATTTTATCTGGAATAATTACAATGATGCATTATTATTTCTTTTGACTCTTATACTTACGCGTCATCATCTGGTGCTCCTATCAAAAGGACTTGTTGACCTGTTGCAATTCTGTTGTAGCGGGAGTTGTTGTTGCAAAGAAATGTATTTGTTGTTGAACAAATAAATGTGGGACGCCATGTTTTCGGAATGTGAAATCAAGAAGCATGTGCAATTTCATTTTGTTTGTCGTTCCATTATTGCCATTTACACAATCACGTTATTCATAATGAACAAGTATTTCATCCAGAATCCAGGTAATCACATATATTCGTATTTTTATTATCTCGGATGATTCCAAACCTATGATCATCATATTCCAACACTTACCCATTATGATGATTCAACCCTCTCACACACAAATTATTGAAATTCATTCCGTTCCATGATGATGCCAAAGATGATGGAAAATTCAAACACCCACTCACAACACTATTACTAGTCGAGAAAAAACATGCCGAGGATGATGATGAAATCCTTCCGAAAGAAGAATTCTTCTTGAAAATACTACTAGCTGCCCGAGAGGAGGTTTTCTTGAACAAGCCTGATTTGAAAAGAGAAGAAGCGCCACTTTTGCAAGCTGAATTGAACATTTTTTTTGTTGTTGTAAATTTTGCAAGAGTTTATCGATAAAGGAAATCTTGTTTTGCATGAAATTTTGTTTAGTTGGGACACATTCTAGAGTTTTCAACCACGCAATGGTATACATGTGAACAAATGATTTTTTGCTTTTTATTCATTCAGTACTGACCAATGTGTTCAATTATAAAACAGGAGTGGTTTGCCACATGTAACTTTCAAAATTACATTCATTCTTTCCTCTGTCAAGTATTAGATGAAGCAAAAGAAATAAAACAATTCGTTCGTTCATTCATGTCAAATTAGAATATTATTCATCAAATAATTCGAATGATTCGAAAGGTCATAAGAAAATGACAAAATCTTTGACCTACCGAATGATCCAAAAATATCCATTCATTCCCCAATCAATACTCCAACTATTAGCAACAATCCAATAAGGAATTCCATGCATACTTTCTCCCCATCCAACAACTAGTATTCAGAGAATCCGTGCAAGAAAGTCAGTTCATTAATTTTTTCAAATTTCACATGTTTTCATGAAGGTTCACATCATGTTGCAAACAATTTGAATCACACATATGATTCACGAACATGGTGCATTCGTATCGATCAATGAAGGACTCTTGATTCTCCACTTACCTTTCACGACATGACCTCCCACATAACCTCCAGTCGTGTATTGATAAATTCCTCCTTTGAAATGTAAAAAATCTTCAAAAACATTAAATGCAGCAACAATGGGACCATTTTGTAAAATACTTTGTTGCATTCCTTGAATATCAGTCAAATCAAACTGTTGTGAATTTTTCACTTTGTATCTTAATTTGTAATTACTTCCGTCCAAACATCGATTGGGACATGGTAAATTACTTCCGATTTTAGCTAAAAATGGAATGCAATGATTAGTGACAATTCCATAATTTTGAACGTATTTAAGTGTGTTTCCAATATCTCCTCCATAACAATCTCCTTCATCACAACTCAATAAGAATTGAGGACTCAACACAACATTCACTCTAGTTTGAGAGGCAATACAGAATCGATCGGCGACCATTTCCGAAACTCCGAAAGCCCAACAAGCTCCGCATTCTCCTTGATCTCGAATATGATGCAATTGAGTGCAATTGGAATACAAGGTATTTGTTACTGAGCTATAGTTCGCAGGAAGAGAGATTTTCATTGAATTTGATCTCGTTGGTGTATGAATGGACAATTTAGGCAATGTCAATTCCAAATCATGATGATTCCTATTATTTAATGGTTCTTTTGATAATAATGGTTGTGATTTTCTATTCCATCCCAACAACAAGTTCACAATTTCCTCTCTCGATCTTCCATTTCCAAATTTCTTATTGTAACCAGCCACCCATGTCTTGGCTTTTTGATTAATTTCCCGAATGAAGGCATCAAGAGATTGTTGATGAATAAAGGATGATGATGATGTTGATTCCGACTTGTTAGTTCTGTAGGAAGAGGATGAAGAGGACGATTGCGAGTGGTTCGGAATGTTCGGAACATCTGCATGGACGAGGACTAGTGAGTAAGAGAGGATGAGGATGAGGAGGATGATGAGGTGAGGACGTGTGGGTGGTAGTTGTTGCAACATGTTTTCGAAAAGTGTGAAAGTGTGGCGAGAGAGCTAGAAAGTGAATTTTTTCAAGTGTATTAATAGTTCAAGAGTGTCACATTCGAAAGAAATGAATTTCCAAATTAATCATGACCACTTGAAAAAAAATTCTTCATGGACGTTTATTCTTGAAGAAAAGTGCTGAAGATGAGAGAAAACCTCATGACATCAAAATGAACAAAACGTTAATAGAGAAAACAGAGAGGTTACTGACACTTGAGGAAAGGAGGTATCTCGATTGAAAAATTATTAATTGTATACAATGGAATATTCAAAGATGTTTTATTCAAAAAAACAACACTGATCTGACAGGATCTTCGTATTCCTGCTTCTTCACAAGATATCCTTAAAAAGGATAATAACCATTTCGGAGGTTCAATTTTATTTCCATTTATATCCATGGTTGCACAAAACGCAAAACGTACATTTGGCCATTTTCCATATCCAACCCAATTGTAATGTAATACATTTTCACACTACCTTCACCATGTATTACAGATAAAAAACAAAAATCATGTTTTCCAGAAAGAGCTCAACCTTCCGCCTTTTCTTTCTCCTTCTCGCTTTAACTCTTCTTGTGGTATTGTTGTGCTGCTACTCCACACACGATGTAAATGCTCAACGACGAAGATGTCGTCGCTACACGTGTCGTAACAGATGTCGCTATGGCTACTTGACCAATCAATATGGATGCCAATCTGGTTGTCGATGCAGAAGAACACCTTGTAGAAGATTTTACTGCTCACGTCCGTGCAGATATGGTTATCGCAGAGATCGAAATGGATGTCAATTGGGATGTTCTTGCAATCCAAGACCATTCTAATAATCGTGTTCTTGATCAAGAAATGAAAAGAACAAGGAATTCTTTGGACTCGAAAGAATATAAGGAGTCGATTTATTCTCATTCTGGATGAAAAACCTTATAAAAGTAGAATTGTATACAATAAAAACAAGTTCTTGATTGTTGTGTGAAGAAATTGTCTGGCAAGCAATTGCTGGAGAAGGTGGATCCATTCCTTAATGAATTATTAAGTACATCCATTGGTAAAGACTTTGATTCACTTGAATAATATACAATCGCAATACCAATAGGGATGATGCTCGATGGCCTCTTTATTCACACAACAACTTTTGAAAGAAAACAAAACAACGACTCTCAAAGTATTTCAAACACCTTTCGAAAGAGCATCCACAAACCAAAGGCGAAATCAAACACGGCACAGAAAGGAATATAAAACTCAGGAACTCCCTTGTGCTGGTGATGCATCCAATCCCACAAACCATGCGACATGATTCCCAACGAGAGAATCCACCAGGACCTTACTTCCAATGCCCACAAGGCAATTTCAAAATACAGAATCATTCCAATAATTTGTGTCCATACTCTCGAGTGTCCATGAGAGTTCAATGCAAAACCAACGTATACGCGGCTGCCATGGAAGGTAAAAACAAAGACATGAATTGAAAGACAATTCGTTCTGGAAAGAGGAATGAAAAAACGACTCCAAACAAAGTTCCAGAGAACCCCAAGAGAGAATCAAAGAGAAGGTGCAAAGCATGTGGAGGAGGAGTGTTTGGAGAACAGGAGAAGACTGTTTGTTGCATTTTCTTGAATATATATATAAAAATTTAAATGTTATTATTAATAGGACGGTCGAAAAGAGAAAAAAACTCATGCACGAGAAGAGTTTCTCCTCGAGCTCGAGGTCCGAGGGTTTGAGGCAACCAATTGGAAGGTGAGTGCGTCCGAGAGGACATTGTTAGATTGGGAAATGAATAATGAAATTCAAGATCGGTCGGTTGCAGTTTTAATCATTCCATTCCTAATTAAGAAGAACGAACAAAATGAATTAATTATGAAACATACTACGTTTGGTCATCTCACGAACAATATCGGATCTAGCTGTTGATAACTTTAAGTTAATAATTAACTTTATTTTCTCAATTCATGGATGGTTGATTGCTAATGAGATCAACATTATTATCAATCCATAGTATGGTCGTGAACAGTCTTGAATTCAATCAGAGGGTTTTCAACGTCCGCCGATTATTAATTGTTCGCTGGCATTGATGACCATTTACAGAGAGTTGCTCAACATGAAAAAATTTTTTTTGTCATCCTTAAATGTACATTTTCAGGTTGATGAATTTCTGGTGTCCTTACTGCATGTAACACCGGATGCCATAAAGGTAAAAGAAACATCCACTCATGAGAAGCTTTGGTTTTTTATTTGGTCAAAGACAAACAGTGAGACATCGTTGTGAAGACACATCTGAAAAAAATGTTGCAACCTTCTCGAAAAGCAGCTAATGGTCTCCTTGTTCTTTCTCTCACATGCCTTGTTGTAATGGTGATATTGGTGGTTTGTGGGATTCCTTACTCAGCCGTCCTGGGTGACAGGACTTGCTTTGGAGTCTCTTCATCTGATATTTCAGTGTGTGGAGGAAAGGGTCTGTGTGGAAGCAATGACAGTTGCACTTGCTTTGATTTTTCACCCAACAATACACTTTATTCACACCCAAACACTGCAGGATATTCGAACTCTCTTTCTTCGACAGGTATTCCTCGTTCAATGCTTGTTTCTACAGATGAGACGCTCATGATCGTCATACGAAAAGATGGCCTTTTAATCAAAGATGAATTTGAAGAAGATTATTTGATAAGTTCGAATGACGCAAATGGTCAAGTTTTTGACGAACTTATTCTCAATACAGATGGATCGCTTGAACTGAAAGGACCAGGGTTTAATCTCGCCATTTTTGATCCATGTATAGGAGGAACACCTCCCTATCGGTTGATTCTAGGAGATACACATTTTACCATCTATGATTCGTTGATGAACATATGTCAAACAAGTTTGGATGATGAACTCCCCATAAGTGTGAATGTGAAATATGGTGGTCCTCAATGTTCAGAACCCATCTGCTATGGAATTAATGGAGGAAACTCAAGTGCTTGCGAAGGACATGGTAGTTGCTCAGAACCAAACTCTTGCTCGTGTTTCACTGGATACTATGGAGAGAAGTGTCAATATTTTAGATGCAATGGAATTCCTTCTGACTCCCCATTGGCCTGTTCATCGAATGGCAATTGCACAGCTCTAAATCAGTGTGACTGTTTTGAGGGATTCTTTGGCTCCCAATGCCAAAACTTTCAATGTTTTAATGTTTCCAACATCAATGAGACTGTATGTTCTGGACATGGCACCTGTGTAAAAACAAATCAATGCAATTGCACTCCATCCAATCAGTATTTTGGAGAACAGTGTGAAATAACATCGTGTTTTTCAATCATGTCCAATTCCACCAACCCAAAACCATGTTCTGGCCATGGCAAGTGTTTTGCATTTAACAATTGTTCCTGTGACTCTTCTGACTATTTTGGTTCACAATGTGATCAGTTCAATTGCTTTAACATTCATAAGGACAGTAGCTCGGTATGTAGTGAAAAAGGAACCTGTACAGGTCCCAATCGTTGCACTTGTTTGAATGGCTATTATGGAGATCGATGTCAATTCTTTGATTGCTATGGAACACTCTTTTCGAATGAATCTGCATGTAGTGGCCAGGGAACCTGTTCAGGTCCAAATCATTGCACTTGTTTGAATGGCTATTATGGAGATCGATGTCAATTCTTTGATTGCTATGGAACACTCTTTTCGAATGAATCTACATGTAGTGGAAAAGGAACTTGTACAGACCCCAATCATTGCATTTGTGTGAATGGTTTTTATGGAGATCGATGTCAATTCTTTGATTGTTTTGGAACACTCTTTTCGAATGAATCTGCATGTAGTGGCCACGGAGCCTGTCCATCGCCAAACAGTTGTAGTTGTCTACCAAATTATTGGGGAGAAAAATGTCAAGAATTCCAATGTTTTGGTATTCATCTGAACTCTTCTTCTGTTTGTAATGGAAAGGGACGTTGTATTGATTATAATATTTGCAGTTGTATCACTGGCTTTGAAGGAGTCGACTGCTCTGTGAATTCGAACTCGATATCCTTATTTGCTGAAAAAACAGAATACTTTATTTCGAGTAGAAACAAAACAATTGTATGGAATGGTCATGTCATCATTGACAACACGACAGAAGTCCTGAATGAAACTATTGTTCTCATGATTCAGTGTATGAATTGTACTGGCACACACGAAATTACAACTCTAGTCAGTACTCTCTCGAACAAAGATACAAAGATATTCAATCTCTCCTTGTTTAACATTTCAACTGCTGGGAGGTATAGATTTGTCATGAATGCAACTCTCTTCAACAACTATTCATCTTATAGATATTGGAAGACAAGAATTGTCGAATTTTATGTCACCTTTTTAGGAGATCCAACACTAGTCCTGTATGGTTTACCTCATGCATTGGTCGCAAATGTCGAACAATCTTTTCAGGTCATACTTTCAGGTGTGAAATTTCCTCAAAGATGTGAAGAAATTCCCAACCATTTCCTTGGAACGAACAAGGTAATGAATAATGCCTCACAGTTGGTTTCATTCTCATTAGAACTTTTAGACTTTTCGAATAATGAAACTCAATGTTCGACCTCTGGAAAGACATTTGCTTCTGGAACTCTTCTTGAAGAAGGATCTTACACAACTTCGATGCTTTCTCCGGTCATTGTATTGCAATGTACCTTGGTGTCTAAAGGAGCATCCATGTCACCACTCTCTCTGAAGGTTGTGCTCACCAACGATATGGATACGGCAGATACTCTACAGTTCAGTTATGACATACCATTGCTAAGTTTTAACGTTCCATCGTTAAGAAACAATGTGACGATCACTCCCATGAACGGAACTGCCCTTGACACTCTTTTTTCTGTTTCTCTGACGGATTTGGATGAATTGAAAAACATTCCTTCCCCACTAAGTCCCTTAGAATTTGCTTTCGGATTTGTTTGGAAGGATTCACAGACTTCAAAGAATGCCAGATTGACACCTTTTTCACTTCAGTATGAAAATGTCACATTC